TTTTTTTTTTTTTTTTTTTTTTTTTTTTTTTTTTTTCCCTATGTTTGTGTCTGGCATAGCTTCCTCTTTCTTTTGTCATGTCTCAGTTCATTGTGCCAATAGCCAAATGAGACTTATTAACCCCAAATAAAGCACTTGTAGATGGGTATTCTAGTAAACTGCATTTGGCTACTAATATGCTGAAACTGGCAGATTAAAGTATTGAAGCAGGGCAGAGCAATGTAAGACAGGGAGAGCTGAAAAATGTTGTATTGAAGGATAAATATTCCTCTAATCTCTTGGCACAGGGTTTTTAAATTTTGTTTGGGGGGGGGGGCTGTTTACTTTGTGTGGTGGTATTTAAGAATTTTACATTTTCTTTCCTCTAGCAAAATGAAGGGAATGTGGAAAGCTCCACAAGATGAAGAGACTTCTGGGTGGCAAGGAAGACAGAAGAAGAAGCAGAAGCGTCAGTTCTGGAAGAAGTTTAAGAAAGGTGATGGAGATGATGCATCTCCGCTGAAAGCTCAGAATTCAGCTGGTGGACCAGAAAATCATACGTTTGTTAAGGAACCTGAAAAAAAATCTGTTTCAGATGCACAGACCTATAGGAAGGATGTGGATCCACTTGGCATTCTGGCAAATAGTGATGCTGGTAAGATGAGGAAAGGAGCTTGGAGAAATCTTTTACTTTAGGGGGAATTAATGTTACGTAGGTAACAGCTTTTTAGGAGAGCTGGCGACTTGGAAAGAGCTTGTCTTTTCAAAGACTTTGTACTTGGTTTGGAAGATGCCATTGATAAATGCTCTGTCATACTTGACAATGCTTCTATCTGCCACTTAAAACATTGTTAGGACTTTCTTGCACTACGGCCAAGGCAGTTCAAAGGTTAGTAGGTCATAGATTTGTTGCTGCCAGCTTCACTGAAGACCCTTGTACCCAGATTTTCATTAGAATTTCCTTTTGAATGGAAATTCCTGCTAAGAACATAAAATGTTGATAGAAGAAACCTGAAACTTTTTCCTCCTGGTCAGCGATTAGGAAACCCTGCCAAGGAAAAGTTTGTGTACAGTATTACGTGTTCTACAATAAATAGATTAAAGGGACAGTGTTAACTTAAATTTGGTCCAGAATTAACTGTTGTAAAAACAAACTTTGATTTAAAAACAAAGGAGTAGAAATGTTTCCACCCAAAAAAATTGCTTAAAAAAAAAATGAAAGTCCCTTTATGCTTGAAACCAAATTCTGCTGTTCTGAGAACCTAAAAGTGAAACTGACTTCATTGTCTTAAGGTGAGTGAAATGTAAAAAGTAAAACAAAAATAGTGACAAATTGTTTTTTTAATTTTCATGTTTAATAATCTAATATGGGGTTAATACATAGGCAATACAATTGTTACAAAATCCTGATTTCAGGTAGTGTTTCTTTAATTCTTGTAATTGAACCAGGCTTCCACAAAAACTTTTAACAGACACCTTTCTAATAATGTTACTAATAGGGGGGTTTGCATGTCCCCCCACCCCCCAAATTTCCATGTAGGTTCCATGCAAAAGAACTGATATGTATTAGCCTTCTGGTTAAATGCCAGCATTTGAGTATATCTGTGATGCCTCCAAAGGAAATGGTGCATCTTGGTACATATAGCTTTGCATCCCATTAAATCTATCTGTGATTAATTGTTTACTTTGGGTTGCTTTTTGTAGATTTTTCCCTTTTGCCCACTAGCAGCTATTCATAAGTCATTGGTCCATTTATCCTGTATCTTAGCTCCCTGGCATTCTGTGTTATCGTGAACAACTTGGATTATAAACTCTTTACTCACTCATGCATACAGATGGCGCTAAATACATATTTTTAAGTAATCAAGTTCTCCAAGATCTCATTGCCATAGTCCAGGGGTAGGCAACCTATGGCACGCGTGCCAAAGGCGGCACGTGAGCTGATTTTCAGTGGCACTCACACTGCCCGGGTCCTGGCCACCAGTCCGGCGGGTCTGCATTTTAATTTAATTTTAAAATGAAGCTTCTTAAACATTTTAAAAACCTTATTTACTTTACATACAACAATAGTTTAGTTATATATTATAGACTTATAGAAAGAGACCTTCTAAAAATGTTAAAATGTATTACCGGCACGCGAAACCTTAAATTAGAATGAATAAATGAAGACTCGGCACACCACTTCTGAAAGGTTGCCGACCCCTGCCGTAGTCTTGTAAGCTTGATTTGAATGTCCCTTAAAGTGATTTCACAATGGGATCTCAAAATTTCTTCCCCTTGGAAATTCTAATTTTAAATGTAAATAATTCTCCCCCTGTAAAAGATTAATTTCTGCACATATTTATCACCCGACTACATCCGGGAAATCTAAACAAGTTTCTCCCTCTCTGTCTGCTATTTGCAATTAATAGCAAAGACTGTAATTAAATTCACTATATGAAGATGGAGCCAAAAGCCCAAGTCCTTGTTCAGAGAAATCAAACTGCTTTTTCCCCTACAGCCTTTTTCAGGGCTATAAATCGGTGTTTAGACAACTCCTGCCCCTGAATGTTAATGGAAAGAAAGTAGCATGCATTTTATCAAGCAATGGTATTGAATAACCTTGTCCAGTATCAGATGCATATTCTCCAGGAGAAGGTCTAGTGACAAAGCTGGCTGTCGACATATAGGAGCATTGAAAGGTCTTGGTACTCTCTTTTCAGAATCGGACAAGGATGGAGCAACTGCAGAGGATGGAAAGTTGGGAGTAACTGTCATTCCGAAGCAGGTAACCTCTGCCCTGAGTTCACTGGTGACCAACTATGGCAGCACATCAGATAGCGAGAGCGAGCCAGAGGGTGAGTTGGGGTCTAACTAGCTTTTTTTCTGTCTTATGAACAGCAAAAGTTTTGAAAGTGTACCAGAAAAGACACTTTGTCTCCGTATAAAAATCAATCTGAGAAGGAAAGTGGCATGCAGTGTAGGCACCTTGCCTCTCCTGCCTTTCTGTCCACCTCCTGCCATCCCTCTTCCCATAGTTTTGTCCTCATTTATGAATATGTAAATTTGCAGCTTTTTATATTCGGAGACTTACATTCTTAGATCTAACCAAAGACATAAACACAATATTTACTGGCTGTACTTCCAGGATATTCATGAGTGGGAACACATCCTGGTTCCTGGCACTTCTGGTTGCTGGTGGAGTAATTGAGAGCAGCCTTGGATCTGCCACTCTAGCTTGTTAGGCAGTGAGGGACCATGTGTATTAAAGGTAGAATGTTTCATATCTCAAGGGGGATGGTTTTTTGCTGTTATGCTTGCAGTGTTCAGTGTACGTCATATGAACACAGACACAAATGGAGAATGAAAAAGGTAACATGGGATGAATGGAAGGATGGGAAAACCCAGCAGACTTCACTGAGGCTACTTTAAGAGCAACTGTTGCTCCCTGGAGGAGAGACCACTCATTATTTATATTGCAGTAGCAACCACAATGTACCATTTGTATACCCAGGATTCACTGAGTGTAGAACATTAGAATTGCCTACAAGATCAGACCTCTGATTTATCTAGTTCATAGCCTGTCTATTAATAATCATTCTCTTTTTTTATATTACATTCCAGAGTTTCCTCAAAGGATGGCAGGTTCACAATGTTGTTTTTCTTGTTTTGTTTCTTTCCCCCATGTTACGTGCCCTGTCCTACCACCTTGTTCTGAGATAAAGGTGGGGATACATCCTATCCAAAAAGAGAATGTATAACTTTTGGAGAAATGTATGTGAGGGAAAAAAACAGCCTTAAAATCCTTACCCTAAAATTGTGTTTGGTGAAGAGGGCCAGGAATGTGCTGTCACTCACCCTGTGAGCTAATATCCAAGCTTCTAGTACTTTCTACATAAGTGTGCTACCACTAGAGATTCTTGTAGTGCTTGGAGACTGAGTGCACATTCTGATTTAATGCAGAGCTTGTTCCTTCCATGGTCACCATTACAGTAATATCTGAGCATGTCACAATCTTTAATGTAGTTATCCTCACAACACCCCGGCGAGGGAGGTAAGTGCTATTACCACCCATTTTACATACCGGGAACTGAGACACGGAGATTGATTGACTTGCCCAAAGTCATAGAGGAAGTCTGTGGCAGAGCAGGGAATTGAATTTGGATCTTGCAAGTCACAGGCTAGCACCTAACCACGGAGCCATCCTTCTTGGCCATGTATTTCACTGCAAACTGGGTTATAATGTGAAAGCAGTATGCTCTGATGTATGGAACATGGGACTGATTGCAGAACAGAGACTTGAGTTCTGATCCAGACTCTCTCTACTGGCTCTCTGATATTGGGCAAATCACTTAACTTCTGTGTGCTTGTTTTCTCTTATGGGAATGGTGATAAGATCCTCTCCTCTGTAGAACTCCATGATCATTAAAACAGGGCATGCTAGTACCAGTAGTAGTAATTAGGTGAGCTGTCAGTATGGAGATATGTGATTGTTATTTAGGACTTTGAGAGTTTACAGTTTTGTTCTTTCTTTTTTTAGAAGTTCCTGCCAAGATTGTAGCAAAAGCTCTTAAGGAAAATCAGACTATCCTCCGAAATATTCCTCAGGCTTCAAATATCCCTAAAAGTCCAAATAGCATAAACCACAAGGAACGTGCAGAATTTACAAGTGCAACGTTGGTGAGCTCAAATACAAACACAGGGCATTGCAGAGGTTCTAACAGACGGAGGAAGAAGTCGCTCCCTGTACTGCCCAAACGTCGTCCAACACTGCTGGAAATGGTAAAGGATATCTCTCTCTCTCTCTCTCTTAAATAATGGCTGCCTGCCACACAGGGGTCTTACTTTAACTATACATGAGTCATATTACAGTATAAAGCTGTCTATATTTGCAGCAGCTCTTTTAAGGTGGTGGCTGGATGAACATGCAGTTCAGCAAAAATGTTGCACAAATATGTAAACAGATTACTTCATGGTACTGTTCAGATTATGGCTTGCTTTGGTGAGCCAGAATTGAAAACTTAATCACATAGTTTGGAAGCTACACTGAGGACAAAAAAATTATTATTATTATTATTATTGCTCTAAAGATTCACATTATAAATCATGCTTGCTTTTATGTGGTCCAGTCATTATTCGGATTCCCTTCTTCTCCCTTCCCTCTGCCCCCTTGATGTGAGGTCCTACATTGAGTGAGGATGTGAGTCCCCGCCTTCTGGCTGAGACAGACTGGATGGTGGCCTTGTGCCCTATCAACACCTATCTCTAATCAGCTAGAACGGTTGTCAGGGAACATCAGGCATCCTATCCAACCCTCTTCTCTCCTTCTTCCCCATTTTGACATTAGAAAAAACTTTCTGACTGTCAGGGTGGTTAAGCACTGGAATACATTTCCTAGGGGGGTTGTGGAATCTCTGTCATTGGAGGTTTTTAAGAGCAGATTAAACAAATACCTGTCAGGGATGGTCTAGATAATACTTAGTCCTGCTATGAGTGCAGGGAACTGGACTAGATGGCCTCTCAAGGTCCCTTCCAGTCCTATGATTCTATGGTTCCCTCCTGCATACACAGGCCTCTTCTATGTAGAAATATACTTTTCACTGGTTCGCAAACTGGCCTGTATATCACTGGTGTTCTGAAGATTTAGGTGAAGCCTCCTTGACCAAAGCAGTCAGTCTTCATGTTGTGACTTTTCCTTCTAGCTGAGGCTGAGTCTGGGGTATGCAGAGGCTATTCTGACCAACTAAACTTAAGCAAAATAAACCAACAACAACTTTCATCCAGCATAGTTGCTCTTTACATTTCTCTGGCAGATTCAGCTGTCATTTCATAGAATTTAAGGCCAGGAAGGACCATTATATCATCTAGTCTGTCCTCCTGTGTATTACAGGTACTAAATTGTTGTGTGCCAGAGGCAGAGAGAAACAGGAGAGACTGAGGTGCCACCAATGCCCAAGGCCTCTGCAGTGGCAGGTAATAGATTAGGTGAGATAGGATCATCTGGACATAACAGGCGATCATTGCCCCATGCGGCAGAGGAAAGTTGGAAAAAACCCAACCCTGGTTCCTTTCAAGCAATACTGAAATTGGAGGTGTGGCAATGCTAAGGATGGAACCAATCTATAAAGCAGTGTTGGGGATCAGAACAGCAAGAACTGTGCCTAAAAAAGGACTGGCTACTAATGTCAAGTTCTGCCGCTAGAGAGAAGGAATAAATTGCATAGATATAATATGTGGGCTGGGGATCTTAGGTGGATGGAACAGATGTTGAATTGTAAAGCATATTTATTTTTGTCTTCTCACTTTCATATTGTCCTAACATTACTTGTTCATATGTTAATCACTATGGTTGTAGCAGGAAAAATGTAGATTGGAGTGGGTGTTTGTGATGGGAGGCATCCAGAAGAGGATTGCCACTGTAGGAAGTGGTCTGTGGTGTGAAAATTCTGAGAAACAAAGTCAGAACGTCTGTCGAAAACCTGTCCACCCTTCTCCCTCCCTCCAAAGGGATTTGCTTATTGAAAGAACATGCTGTGTGTGAAATGATGTGCTTTTTTTAAAAGCAGATCTTGTGGTGGTGCTGCAGAGCTTTCTGGTGACGTTCATTAAATCAGCTTCAGTACACCCAGGATGTTTATCATTGTCCCACGTATGACCATGTATGTTTAGATACATTTATAGCATACAGAATGACTGAGAATAACAAAACCCATACATCCTATTTCTTCCAATATTTGTCAATACATACAGCAGGATAAAAAGGTGTTGTGCACCTAGTTGCTCGTATGGTTTAAATATAATGAGAGAGATGGCCAGTTAACAAACTTTATTAAAGGATAATTGTGCATCCCATCTGCTTTTTCATGCCACCACTTGGGAATTCTGCAGTTACCCCAACTACAGCAACAAGAATGTTGTTACACTGTCCTCACACTCTGTGTGTGTGTGTGTGTGTGTGTGTGTGTAATGATTACAATAAGCTGAACTGCCTTCAATCATTTTATGTATAGGTAAATATCAAAAAGTGTAACTAGTTCATTTTATGGACTAACTGCCTGCAACTCTTTTAAAAAGCTATTATGGATAGCAAACAGCCTTTTAAATGGCTAAATAGACTTCTTTGTTGGAAATAAATTTATAACAAAAAATTGCTTCCCATCAGATCTTGCATGCCAAGTTCAGCTGAGTGCAACTTTTTACAGTAGTTCTCTTGTAAATGATCAGATTCACAGATTTATACTTTATACTCACATCTTATTCAGCAAAGTCCATTTACTTTTAGCGTTCACAACCCCAAAAACGTCCTACAGTCTTCCAACTGTTGTATAAATACTAGTTTAACTTTCTCAAAGCATTAGTAGGAGTTCAAAGAAAATAATGTCTTTAGCAGTCTAGTGAAGAAACGTTGTGTATTTTTTTTCATGGAAAAATTAATGGCATTTGGATGTATTAATTTTTCTGCCAGGTAGGTTAAACTGGGAATGACAGCTCATTCAAAAGAATTTTGTCAAATTCAACCAGCTCTAATGCAGTGATAGAACTTTAGCCCCCTGATTCAGCAAAGTGCTAAAGCATGTGAGTTATCCAATTTGAAGTCAATGGGACAAAGGTGCCTTACTGAATCAGGGTCATAATGTTCACATACTAATTAAAACTTCACATCTTCCAAAGCAGTGTATCGCTGTTACAAGCCTTGCAGCATCCCTGGAAAATAATCCCATTTTACAGATGAGACTCTGACTTTGCCAGCACCCCACAGTAAATCAGTGGTAGAGCTGAGATTGGCTCCAAGTCCTGAATTCAATCTAATAGGGTAGTTTCTCCTGCCTCTTTGCTTCCAGGTCTTGCTTGCAAGCCTATTATATACATTTGCAAATACATCTAAATTAATGTGTCGCCATACCTTGTTTACTTTGCATCTGTTACTGACTAGGAAACAGAAACCTGCATCACTTTCTCTTTTTCATTCCAGTTATTAGCCCAGGACATACGACACGAAAGGAATGTGATTCTGCAGTGTGTTCGATACGTCATCCGAAATGACATGTTTGGACTTCACTTAAAGACAGAACCAGTCGCTGAAACTGACAGCGGACAGGCTTCTAGAGCTGCAGCGGAGTTTTTGACAGTCAGACCTGATGGATCTAATGTTTCTTGTAGCTCTGACCTTCAATTAGCAGAAGAAGAACAAGATGCATTATTTATATCTCAAAGTGACAAAGCAGCTATAGGTCAGGCGTCACAGATGATTCACTATATAGACGAGGAGACATGGGAAACCCCAGCGAGTCAGTGTGAAGAAAACTGACATTTGTTACGGTATGCCTCTGTCATGGAGGGTGAACCAAAGGCTCAACTTTTGTACTTCACTGAAATATTTTTTGAAAGACAGTAGAATAGGAAAAAAATAAATCCTATCTTTTGTATTTTAAGAACCATTAAAATCACTTTTCTGAACACTCTGCCAGAAGTGACCCTTTCCTTGTGGAAATTACAATCCATTTCAGATGGCTCTTTGCCTTCTACTTGAAAAGCTCAGTAGTGGAGCATAGTTACATCTTTCTTCAGTAGCAGTGTTTGTTTGCCCATGGGTTTGAATTGAGGACTCTTCATTACAGAATATGCCAGTGTTTTAAAACCATAATCAGAGCAAAATTATGCAGTTGATAATGGTGCTCTCTAACTTGCTTAGACAACCAGTTGTCACTGGAGGGTTAGTGGGCCTCTGAACGTTTTGAAATAAATTTTTAAAACATCTCTCAGCTGTTGTTGGTTTAAAATATAAAATTTACGAAATAGTTGGTTTGGCTCTAAAACTTTCACACTGAAATCTACCACTAGTACAATAAATCAGTTGAGCAGAGAGAATGGAAGCACAGTTAAGGTGGTGGCAGCTTTAGGTGGGGAGTTAAGTAGATAGTAGAAAGTTGTTTGAAATCATTCCTTAAGTGACAAACCAGTAGCTACTGCTACCTTTTATCCATCCTTTAATAACTGCCTGTAACTGTAGACATAGCTTCACCTCAAGCCTTAACTGCTGTAGCTGGTCATTGCTTGGCTGAACTAGCTCTTGAAATCGATCCTTATTGCTTGTAGGAATGAGTGCTATAAATTAAGGGCTTTGGAGCTGGGCTCCGGCTCCGGAGCATGCTCCAGGCAAAAGCTCCACTGCTCCGGAGCTGCTCCGCCCTTCATCTCTGGGTTCCGCTCCAAAGCCCTTAGATTTTAATTTTGGAGTTAAGGAAACTTCCTAGGATGAGTTTCTGTTTATCTCCCCTAGTGAATATAAAATTAAGACTGTTATCTGGCATTCTATAACCTGCTTTTTCTGATTCATTTTTAAAATGCCAGTGACACATCCCGTGGATTTCCTTGGACTTGTGCTATTAATGTCACTCATACAAAATGTTCATTCTTTTCTGTGGTGCCTGAAGTTATAAATCTCATACAAGCTTTTATGAGCTTTAAAGTTTGCATTAGTTGAGGATTTAAAAATAAGTTCACCACCTTTTGGTTAAATTGTGTATACATTTGTCAGGCACCTTCTTGTGAAGTTCAACTGTCAGTTTGTCTCACTCCCAGTGGAAATAGGATATGAAAGTGACTTAGTCTACTTAAAAATAGTTCCCCACATTCTGTATTTTAGCCACAATTATTACATATTGTAGGCTCAGTTTCTAAATTAAATTGCCTTCTCAGGAAATGCATTTATCTTTCTTTGCTTTACTCATTCTGGTACAAGTACACCCCTGTATGTAACCTGCAGAATACTAAGGACTGTAGGGGTTTTTGTATTCTCCAATAGCTGTATGTATTAAGCTATCTTGTTCAGTTTTTAAAACACTTGCCAGTTTGGTGGAAATAAATCTTGTTCATGGAGTACAGGAGAAAGGGAATAGCTGAAAATTCCATCTTTACTGCTCTACTATATATAGCTACACTGTATACTGTGTTTGTAAGATACTGTGTACATTTATGGAATTATATAAATATTGGCACTCATGTAAGAGGGTGATGAGTCCTAGGAATGTGTATATGTAAATTATTAAATACAGCAATCATAAACTTGTTATATATGTACTTGCAAGCCAGATGACTCATCCTTCCCATGGTGGTCCCACATACCATCACTTCATTTTATTACCTTGAGTGTGGCTGTTACACAGTTTACTGCAGTGAAAAATAAACAGCGAAAATTTAGCTAAGGAGATTGGAACTTTTACAGAATTTGGTTTCTGGATACACTTGTATTCAGTCTGGATGTGGGAGGGGAAGGGGTGTCAAATCAACAGTTGCATCAGTGTGGTAAACAAAAATGAGCAAGTTAGGATTACTACAGAATTGCTACTTTTTTTTTTTTTTTTTTTGGGGTAACTAATCCACCCCTTAAGGTCCTGCTCTTGTTCCTATTGAAGTTTGTGGCAAATCTCCTTTTGCAGAGGGAGGTCCTGAGTGAGGAAGGCTCTGCTATGAATTGCTTGTACTTCTTTTGCTGATCTAAGATTATTAAAATTCTACAAAATGTAGACCCATTAGAAGTCTTTCTCTCCCCCTCCTGCCCCCCGACCTGTCCCACAGTTGTGGTGGGCTTAGGGGCCTTTCTGGGAAAAACATTTAATATAGGTGGTGTCAAGTATCAGGGGGTAGCCGTGTTAGTCTGTATCTACAAAAACAACAAGGAGTCTGGTGCCACCAGACTCCTTGTTATTTAACATAGAAGGACTACCTGTCTTAAATCAATCATTCATTTTGCTTTTGTGGTGTTTGTACTGCATATATTTAAAACTGCCTTTTGTGCTCCAGGAATGAACTGCTTCTGCTTAATCTAGGGAAGACATGTAGGTTGCATTAAGCCAGGAATAGCAGCTTTGGTCTGCATACAAAAAACCCAACTTTTTCACTTTGGTTCCTTTTGTAAGTCAGCAGGGAGTTTCACCTGACATTCCAGTATTAGCTTTCCTAATGCTTTTATCTAGCCTTCACATTGGAATGTTAATGCTGTAATTTCCTGTCTTGCTTATGTCAAGCAGCTGCAGTTTTGCTTCTGACGCTTTGCCTTTTCTTTTTGTATCGGAGTATGACTATGGGTTTTTTCCTCCCACTTGCATTAAGATGCCTGTCTGTGGCTGTGTAAGAAATAACCAGTTGCATTTTGAATCCACAGCAGCTGATTTCTTTATTATGCTATGCATGGCCTTTAATTGTTTCATTATTGATTTTGGTTGGATTATGGCATTACTGTTTGAAAAATGGAGCTTTCAGCTTTGGATAAAAATACTCAACATTTCACTCTCCCCCTCCCCCCCTCCCTTCAGCTTTGGTAACTTAGCTACAGAAGATGTCTGATTTAAATTCATTACCGTTCTTTTAAAATTCCATGTTTCACTTATTAATCCAGAAAAACTGAAGTCCGTTTTTATAGCTGTCTAAACCTTGGTCAAGTTTGTGAATGGTGATGTGACTTAACAGACAACTCTGTTTTGTTTGAACCTTGCTTCTCATTTATGGGATGGCTTCTGTCTGTGACTGGTATAAAGAAATGAACTTTGTGTCCTTGTATTACTGAACTGTAAGCATCTCCTTGTGATTTTGTGTAATTTTACATGAAGGTTCTTGCAGCTCGTCTGTACTTGTGTTGTAGCAGTTCTAAAGTTGCAGACTTCAGAATTAAAAATAGGATCAAAAATGGTACGGAGCCATGTGAAGGGGTGTACCAACCCTGCACTCAGCCAATGGGGACTGAGCAATCATTGTGGGCTCAGGAGGCCATGCCCCCTTTCCCCTGCTGTGCATGCTCCAGGTGGAAGAGCCAGATAAAAGGAGGCAGCCCAGCTCAGTCGGGGCTGGCTGTTGAGGAGGAAGGATGTGTACTGCAGACTCCTCCAGAGATGCTGAGGATGCTCCAAGCAGCAGAGCCCATGGACGCAGACAGTGCAGATGACTCACTGACTGCGGAGACTGACGGGGGACGCCAGGCCACCACCAGCGGAGGAGATGCCTGCTGCAATTTGTGATAGGAAGTGACCCAGGGGAGGTAGTAGAAGCCAATGCCTAAATCCTTAGCGAGGAAGTCCCGGGCTTCCTAGGGCCCTTGGTCGGAACCTGGTGAAGCTGGAGGGGCTGGGTTCCCCTACCACACTCCACAGGCCACTAGGCGTGGCTGCTGTTTGCTCTTGCCCCAGCCCGTGGGCTCAGGGACCATAGACCGTTTGTTTACGCAGCCCTGCCAGGGAGCCAAACCCCACCTGGCTGCAACTCCCTGAATTAGCAAGGAATCCCGAGAGCTGGGTGACAGGGTGTACCAACCCCACACTGGGCCAACAGGGGCAGCCCGGCTTGGCCCACGGGGACCCCATCACAAACCAAGATACTGTGGCATAATTCAGAGAATTGGAGCTAAAAACTGGGATAAGCTGACCCTACCTAAAAGATGTATATCAAGATCTTCTCATCACTACCACGTTGCCTATCCACAACAATGCATGTGTGCTCACCTCTGTTCATCATCTAAACCCCATTATTCACAAGATGTCCATCGAACTTAGTTATAAAATCTTTTATGGACAAAAATGCAGGTCTCCTAACCTCATTTAATTTTTTTTTTTTTTTTTTAGACCTAGTGTAGAATATGTTGGTGATTCGTCCTGTTACACATGTAGAAACCCAGCCTTCATTGGGTTTTAGACACACAAAACTAGTACCAGTATCTAAGTGGGTTACCCAGGATGGGCTACATTGGCTACCATTGACTGAAGTGTGTCTGCCATTTATTTTTAAAGATGGATATTTGTTAGGGTAGAAGAATGTTTTGCGGTTCTCTGCAAGTTACAGTTCCTCTTGGAAGGATGGAGAATGTCCTAGGACTCCATGAGTACCCAAGCAAAGCTAAGACCAGGTACTGCAGTTGATCTTGGAGAGCCAAAGAGAGGAGAACACTAAAGAAAGAAGATTATAGTAAGAAGCTAAATGTTTAAAATTCCATATGTACACGTGTTTGAAAGAGAAGGCAGTGGGATCCAAACTCTTGAGTCAAAGAGCCGGGTTCATTACCAGCTCTTTGACTTTGTATCACCTTGGGCTACTGATTTAACCTTGCTGCCGCAGTTTCCCTATCTGTAAAGCAAGGGGAATGCTTAACTACCCTTGTAATTTTGAGAGAGATGGATGAAAAGTACCTACGTGTCAAGCATTGTTCCTTGGAAGGGCACTGGGGCTAGTGAACCAGAGTGGTATCAGTCTTCAATATTCCTGTGTTGATACAATCTAGAAGCATTTAATAACTTGTAAATATTCCCTCACTTCCCTGCTTTTTTTGTGTGGGTGATTTGCCCCGTCCCATCTGCTGCTCCTGTGACTGTCCTTAAATGGATTCTTCAGGCAGAGTCTCCTGTCTGTAGCTGATAAGATGTGGTGGTTCTTGGCAGAGTACAATTTTTCCATCTCTTCTCTATTGTACA